CTAACCATCTCATCCTCTGCCGTCCTCTTCTCCTTTTGCCTTCAATCTTTCCCAGCATCTCCCTTGGAAGACATAAGCTTAAATCAATTTAGGACGGGAACGAATTAGAATGATTTATATAATTATATGAATTATATTATAAATAATATTTATACATAAATGTTTATAATATTATTTTAAAAGGCTCATATTACATTAATAAAGCATAATCGTAATGCCATGCAACACGGTGATGTAAGAAATGAAGCAGTAGCCAACGTTTTCTATAAATGTATCTGAAGTCACTGAAAAACAGCCATCCACAGGCCGGATGGAAAAGGAATTTCCAGAAGGATACTATGCGCGAGACTATAGGGACAGTTCAGTTGCAAAGAACTTGTATTTTGGAGCGAAGTAAAATATGGAACGCTTCACGAATTTGCGTGTCATCCTTGCGCAGGGGCCATGCTAATCTTCTCTGTATCGTTCCAATTTTAGTATATGTGCTGCCGAAGCGAGCACAATTATGCTACTGGTTTGTATGGTATATAAAGCTCTTTGTCCTTATAATTGTAAAGTTATAGGGAAATAATCGCAAATTGCAAGTTTGTCCATGATTTTCCTACCAATCCAGAATCTTCTTTGAGCTCTATTCCTATTACGTTTTAGTATTAAAATACATTAACAAGCTTTTCTTTCCAATAAATTCATTATTTTTTTTAATATTTCTGCCGAGTGCATGATGGGGTAGGACGTATGCAAATATACGCCTCTCTGGTATCACAGCGGAAGGTTAGGGTAGGGGTGGGATCAGAGGTTCTCATTCTCATTGGTTGTGCTTTAAGATCCCCGAAAAGAAACGGAAATTTAAGTTTTCACAGCACAAGGGGCCTGTATGTAATTGGGAGGGATTATATTTTTCTCTGGTGTGGGCTTTTTAAAGATTTTATTTCACTGACATGAATATCAGGCACTTCATTAGACAGCTTTAGAAAGCCCACGTTTTGGCGCAAGCGCATAGGAGCGGGACCGCATGGATGGTTGGGGTAAGTAGGGGGGACATGGAAGAGTTCATTTGTGGGGGGCGAGGGGAGAAGCAAAGAAGAACGCTAAGAATTTCAACATTTTAAACCTATTCCCGGAAAGCATTTTGCTGCAGAGCTGGTACTTCCAGAATAATTTTTCTTTCCTTGCATCGTTTGTTGAGGTATTGATCTTTTAGAGCCCTTACACTGGATACAATTCAGTGATTACTAATTTTGGGTTTTGGTAGATTGTGGGATGCTATGGATTTAATACACCTTGATTTTAGCAAAGCATTTGACAGTGTGCTCCATGTCATTTTGGTTGGCAAGCTAGATCAGTGCGTGGTCTATTTAAGGAAATCCACAGGCTTTTTTTTTTTTGGAATTTGTATTCAAAGATGGATGGATGGATGGACGGACAGATGGAGCACCATCAAGTCAGTGTTGAGTCTTAGTGACCACATCAGTTGATAGATATTCAGAGAATAGTCATTATCTTTTAAAAATCAAATTGGAGTGAGACATTAAGTGATCCTGGAACTGGTACCCATCAACATTTTCGTGAATGACTTGAGTGAACAGAGGGAGGGAAGGCCTCTCAAGTATAGGACCATCACATGTAGGCTGCAAAAACATGACTGGCTGGGGAATTCTGGGAGTTGAAGTCCACACATCTCAAAGTTGCCAAGTTTGAGAAACACTGATCTAGAGGGTTGTCAGTTTTATGGATCTCTTGGCTTCCATTCAGTTGACTGTTATTTGCAGCCCAGATAGGGAAGCCCAGACATAATCAAATCAGGAACTGATCAA